TGTCACTTTCTTTTAACTCTTATTTAACAAGGATTGAATGCCTACCATGTGCCAATCAAAAAAGACCCCTGGAGCTGGGGCCGTAGCTCAGCAGCAGAGCGCTTGCCTAGCATGTGTGAGGCACTGGGTTTGATCCTCAGCACAACATAAAAATAAACAAAATAAAGGCATTCTGTCCATTTACAACTTCAATACAAACAAAAAAGACCCCTGCCCTCACAGAGATTAGATTTGTGTGTCAACTGAACAAGCTGTAGGTGCCAGATCTGTTTACAGCAAGGCTTTGCAACTGGTTTGGGTGCAACTTTGGGAGGACAGGCAATGAAGCAAAACATGAGGGATTCTCCTCAGAGTGTTACTGTTATTCCAATTTTTCTTCCTTTCGCAAGTTGCCTAAGAATTTTTCCAGTGGGAACCCATCCAAGAGCAGCTCAGAGGGTAATTTCAAATCGTGCCCTAATTTCAACATTAAATTCAATGGCAGGGAACCATTAATCCCAAAGGTATTAACCACCTTTGGAATCATCAGTTGTAAAGAGAATTGATAGGTTTTACCCAGCCTTTTGGGGATAGTTTAAGTCTGAGTAACATTAATATAGGATATGCTGGGGTAGAATGAGATAGTTTCCATTTTTACTCCAGACATCCTTATAAAACCTTTGTTCTTCCAGTTTTATGTAGGACTCACCAGTTCTGTTACCTTACTGTCTTAAAAACAGTAAGGTAACAGAACTGAAACCCCAAGAGTCAGGCTGCAGTAGGGAAATCAAGTTATATTCTATTGAAGCCTGTAAAGGCCTTATGGAAGGGAGAAAAATCACCAACCAAACCAACCAACCAAGCAAAAAAAAAAAAAAAAAAAAAAAAAAACCCACAAATAAATAGAAAGAGGAAGGAACAAGACTCTGCCTTCATCTTTGTTATTATGACTTTCCAGCATGAATTGGCACAGAAGCATGAAAACATTGTGGTTCCTGTCTTCCCGATCTCTACTGATAGCCAGCAGCAGATGCTTCGTGCAGATTACCTTACTAATTTTAACTCCTATGAAGAGAGTACTTTATTCTATCACAGGAGGTGAAACTACAGCTCAGCAATTAAGTGGTAGGGCTGAGATCTGATTATCTGCCTTCTGAACCCATGCTTCTAGACATCTTTGCTACTTTGCCTTCTTAGTCTTCCTCAGCTCAGTCTAAGAAAGGGGGGATAATTGGATAGAATGAGAGATTGCTGTTTTCAGGTCTCAGGAAATTTCCACACCATTTTATAAACAATGAGATAATTACTACATTAGTAATTAGGGCTTATTGCAACTGTAAATCTTTTAGCACAACTGAAATCACATGCATCAATTCTGTCTTAGGAGCTATTCAGTTCTGGAATCCCCAAATTGAGGAAGTTGGTCAGGTACTTAGAAAGAGATACTAACCTGATCCAGAAGAGAGAACCTTTCTTTTTCTTGAAAACTGATGGAACAAAATAATCAGTCACCAACAGACATACTATGCCTTGGATGCCTGTTTAGTGTGGAGTACCTTAATCATGTTGCTCCTAATGTAATGAGATGCTATTATTGCCTTCCTCTAAAAAATTATTCTAACAATGGGTAAACCTTAGGTTTAAGAAAACTAAGGTTTACCCATTGTTAGAATAATTTTTGGGCTGGGGATTTGGCTCAAGCGGTAGCGCGCTCGCCTGGCATGCGTGCGACCCGGGTTCGATCCTCAGCACCACATACCAAAGAGGATGTTGTGTCCACCGAAAACTAAAAAATAAATAAATAAATAAATATTTAAAAAAAAAAAAAAAGAATAATTTTTCCTAAAGTCACCTTGTTAGTAAGTGGTGGAGGCTGAACTCAAACCCATTGACTCCAAAGTGCATGCTCATATTACATTAAAGGAAGATAGTAGGCGTGGTACTGAATGGTAAGATGCCCACTGGGGGCCAGCAGGAATTGCAAACAACAGCAACATTTCAAAGGGATAGACAAGGTCAATGCTTATAACAAGTTTGGTAGTAAACTTTGAAAATAGCTCAGAGCCTCCTGTCTGATGGCATGAACACAAGAAAGGGATTATGAGGTGACAAAAATTAGCTTTTAAATGCAGAAATCCTTCGTGTACTGGAAGACCTGCAGCTTCATGAAGACCACTTCTTTCGTGCAAAGGGTCAGGTAGATCTTGTGACATGTAGTAGCTTGTGGGAGGACAGTGAGATGAAAATGATGGGATCATGCCATCTGAGAGACTCTGATATCTTAAAAACCAATGGTAATGGCCAAGCTCTGTGCAGACTGTAAAGAAAAGGACCAGCTTCTGATAATCATCCTGGATAGGAAGACATGCACAGAAGTAAAATAAAATCAAAATATTTATTTTGTTCTTTTGCACATGACATGTTAAAACATCCCTACTACAGCAATACTGCTCTCCAGGAGCTTACAATCTAAGACAGTCAACATGAATTGTAGACCCAATGATTAAGGCATTATATCAAATGCAGACTTTGTATCTTTAGATATATCTTCTGAAGAAGCAGCTGGAGGGGGCAGGATGAAAATTAAATGACATGAACATGTACCCCCTGCCTCACCCCTAGCTCTTTAAAAGGAACCCCTTGTGACAGGAACCTACGTACCCACAGACTGAAAGGGAATTCTGGGCAACCCTAAATAGCAGTAGTGAAGAGACTCTTAATTTCTATTCTCCTGGTGGACAAGTGGATTCCTTATTTGTAGGAGTTGAGTGTTCCTCCATCAGACTGGAGCAGCACCTACAATTTTATAACTCTGGGGAGGGTAATAGGTAGCCCTGTACCCAGTCTTAAGAGAAATTCTAGTTGCTTCTTGAAGCATACTTAAGTTTCTACAGGTTTATAAATACCAACTTCTGACTGGTATTTATATTCACCGTGTTGCAATACCCACTACACCAGGAGAGCCGGGGAGATTTAACCCACTAGACCATGTGGGAGAAAAGACAAAGACAGGGAAGAGGAGAGCAGAGTAATAAGGGCCAAAGAAATGGGGATACAGTCTTCCAGCAGATATGAACAGCGAAGGAGGAAAAGAGAAGTTTAGATCCCCAAAGTCAAAGATGTCAGGAAGTAAATTCTGAGTGAACAGGGATACAGAAATGAACACCACTGAGACAAARCTAGAGTGATGGAATTTAAGCTTTAACTTTTTTCACCTTCCCTAGCTTTATCCTTTGGCAACCTAGTCTGAGGAACTCTAAAATTCAGTCTTTTTAGGAGTTTTTCTCTACCCTGAACACCGAAGACCTGTCCCAAACTGAGGTTTCTCTTGGTGAATTTAAAATTCAAAGTACTTTTTCTTAACTGGCCTTGATTTTTTTTTTTTTTGGTTTGGCCTTGATTTTTCTCACTTACTGGTAAGATCTTGTTTCTGGAAGTTTATAGTAGCTCTTCTAGAGAGTACCAGAGTCACTACTGGGCATTGATTCTTACATATTCCTCAGGTTTTATCATCCCTTGGCTTCTGACACAACAAGAAGCTTTTACACCTTAATGCTGGGCTCTGTCAGCACCTGTCATTCACRGCTCTTGCTAAGTATCAGCACTACAAGGGGATGAAATGAGAGGAAAGCACAAAGCTCTAAATGCTGCTGCTTGGATTTTAACCTCAATCCAGTAGGCCATAACTCTCTTGGTTCAAAGCCATAGAAGTACACATTCCTCACTCTCCAATATTTAACTGGCAGCCACAGAGAAAGTACAAACTTCAAAACCACAACACAGGTCTATGAGATAGCTGCTTTTTTTTTTTTTTTGTCTTCTCTGCCCTGAGGCACAGCAGGCTCTAGCACCAAGAAGGGCAGGATTTAACAGACCAGCACAGGAAGAATCACTTTAAAGAGGTAGTTTGGGAAGAAGACTGCAGTACAGACTAAGACTGAACAGAATAAAAATCCAATATGATTCTTCATTGTGAAAAGAGGTTTGGGCCATCTGTGATCTAATTCAGTCCCCAAGAGTAATAAAGATGGTCACGCAGACAATGTGGATCTGCCCTGCAGGGGCATTGATGGTGGAGGATGAGGAAGATCTGGCCATCAGCAGACCACACCCTAAGTCTCTCCAAAGAGAAAACGGGGCTTTTGCCCTCCTGGCCCATGCCTATCTGATTTACACCACAGATCAAAGGTCTCTCTCAGCCTTCAAACTACTTCCAAGAAACCACAGATCTTAAAAATAAGGACGAGTGACTTCATACATGCTGATAAAAGTACTTTGGCTATAGTCCTTCACACCTGTGCACACACCCAGCAGGAGCTGAAAAAAATGTTTGTGGAATGATCAAGTATTGACTAGCAGCTTCACTATGTGAGGTATGCTCAGACATAGCATCTACAACCAGCAATTCAAATTTTCATGCCCAGGGAGCCCCTCTCCTCCCCAGGTGACACTTCCTCAGTTTAAAGCAGAGATTCTCAAAGTGTAGCCCTCTGAACCATCAGCAGGAATATCACCTGGGAACTTAGAAATGCCAATTTGGGGGCTCTGGGGTTAAGGCCCACAACTAATGTCTTACCAAGCCCACCAGGTGATTCTAAGATGCATGCTAAAGGTTGAAAATCACTGGTTTAGATGCAGACACATGAAAATAATGGGAAAAAAGAATTCAAACTCTTTTGCTAAATTCAGCTTGGAAAAACCAAAGTACTAAGTCAAAGTAAAATGCCAATGGTTTTATTTAAGAATATCTATATCTATTTTCTCTAATTGATTGTCTTTTTTTTTTTTTTTTAAACTGACAAGCTCCTTCGAATCAAAATGTTAAGTGAGAACACACGTTGATGAGTTCACAGCCCAAGAATACACATTCTGCAAGCTTTAGGCCTGTTTTAGTTTCAAAACACGTCAAAAGCTACAAAGATTTTGTGCCACACACCACACCTAGAGAATGCACAATGTCGTTCTCACCCACTGAGTCCAAAGACTGAAGCTTACTTTCTAATATGATGTTTGAGTCCTGGGTTTAGTTGGGCAAGAATCTCCCTCAGCTACCATTGCTGGCTGAAGTTAATCCCGATCCATCACTGACCCAGAAAAAAWTCCCACCAAATTCACATATTGTCTGTTAAAGAAAACCCAGAAGATTAAAAAAGGACACAGATGAACAAGTCATCCACTAGAAAGCTACCTGGATTAGACAAGGATCTAGGGTGAAGACAGCTTATGGGAGGCTTCTCAAAAGGAATGAGAATCTCAGCTTATTAGAAAAAAACAGTTTGGGAGATCACCATTTTATCTTGGAGACTGTAAACTAGACCTCTATTCAGCAGGTGTGTGTGTTTGTGTAAAGAGGAGCAAGAGGGATGATTGGAGCAGGAACCACGTCTTCCAGTCTTGAACCTCTTTCCACTGCAATCGATAAGGCCACACCATGGAATCTGATGTTAATGGCAATGCTCTGTGATGTCCACTACCACTGCCTTCTTCCAGCTGAAGAGAAAGTATCCTGTTCCAGCCCCTGCTGCTACTGCAATGCAGAGGTACCCATTGTAGGTCATGAAGATGAGCATGAGGAAGTAGCTGATGACCACCTGGATGACATGCAGCACTGTCTGCAGGAGGTGAGGGAAGCTCAGCATCTGCTGCCTAGGGATAAAGAAGGACACATGATCATCTCACAGGAGGTCTGCAATCAAGAGAAACAGGGAGCAATTGTGCCCATGAGCTCAGCCTCACAGCCACCCTGGCAATTCACGGTACTTGTGTGTACGCTTGTTGCTCACTGACACCTGAAATGAAACACCATAGAGTTGCCAGGTTTATAAGCAGTGGTCAGATAGGTTATGAGTCAGAAGGAGGTACCCTTTTGGGAGGGGTGTAAAGGAGGAGAAGTAATCTTGGTTTCTCTCTCCCTTGGATCCTAACCCACTCTCCCACACTTATTTGCCTGAATATTTTTAAACTTTGTTTTTCTTTTCTTTTTGTGGTATTGGGGATTGAACTCAAGGCCTCACCCAGGCTAGTAAGTGCTCTACCACTCAGCTACATTCCCAGCCCCTTTGCCTGAATATTTTGGGGGTCTCCAACTTTGCAAAGTTCACACTTTACAAAAATGAATCAGAAGTGAAAGTTGGGTGGGATAGTAGAAATCAGGAACAGGAGACCTGACAACTCGCACTCTGTATCACCTCAGGTACCATATCTTTTTGGGCCTCAATAAGCTCATCAGTGCAACAGAAATAAATAATATTGTTGCCTGAAAGTAGGATATTGGTCTATAGAATTTCATAAGGTCCAACCTAGTTTTAAGATCTACATTTCTAAAAAGAAATCTGAATCTCAAAAAGCATTTCCTGATATCTAGGGAAAACCAAAAGTCATCCAAATACTTTCTTAGAACAGACATAAAACTCCTATATTGTAAACAAAATGAAGATAGAACTAGCTTGAGAGAAAGGAATCATTTGTATTCTGCCATTCTTTTATACCCTCACCTAAAATTCCTAACTTGTTCATTATTATTTTGGCAAATATTTAAAAATACAGATTTTACTGACTTTCCAAAATGACTAATACTTACAACTCAGAACAAATATGTGTTTGCAGGAACGTTTCTATTACTCCTGCTTTGACCCATTATAACCTACAACCCCTAACCTCCCAAAGCCAGTTTTGATCAAGGTTCCATAGAATTACTATCTCAGGTCGGAGGCCGGTAAGATACTGCTAACAGACTAGCTGCTTTGCTGCTCAACTAAATTACCTCTCTAGAATTTCCATCTGGATTTGTTCAATATTCTTACCCAACAGTTTTGTGTGTCTCCATAAGAATGGTTCCATTCGGTCCTGGGACAGGCATGGAATTGTAGCGAATGCTGACTTGTGACTTGCGCAGCAGACTCTCCCGGGCTATCTTGAGTCCTTCATAGAACATTGCTAGTAAAAACACTGCCACAAAAGCTCCAGCCATTTCTAAGTGGGGAAAGAAAAGATGGTGGTACTTTCAAACATGTCCAAATCATTAGCCAGTGTGCTGTCCAGCTACAGAGACAGCAGAGAAGAAGTACTGCAACTCTTGGCTTTATCAACGTTTTGTTTTCGTATTGTTACCTCTTTACCTGCTTAGATAGGAGAGCAGCTGTCATTAATGAAAACCATGGCTTCTGGTGGAGAACACTCTTTCTCTCACGCTGGGGCTTGAACCTAGAGACTTGTGCAAGCTAACATTGTAATCTATCCAAGTTACATACCAATTTTACATTTTTTTCTTTCCAGAGAGGCTCTTGCTGTTTTGCCTAGGCCYGTCTCAAATGCCTGGGCTCAAGTGATCCTTTTGCCTCAGCCTCCTAAATAGCYGGGACTACAGATATGCACCCCTGTGTTAGACTTACTTTCTGATTAAGATACAAAAAGTCATCTGAACAATAACCCTTTGGTCTGGCTGCTGGATGTTATTAAGTCAGCTCTGTTACACTGAGACATTGTAGAATATCGAAAAGGGGAATAAAATAATTGTTTTTGAGTAGGGCCTTCCTAAGCTGTCTAGTCTGGTCTTGAACTCCTGGGCTCAAATGATCTGCCTCAGCCTCCTGTTAACAACCTATTTTTTTTTTTTTTTTTTTTAGAGAGAGAGAGAGAGAGAGAGAGAGAGAGAGAGAGAGAGAGAATTTTTTTTTTAATATTTATTTCTTAGTTTTCGGTGGACACAACATCTTTGTGTGGTACTGAGGATCGAACCCAGGCCGCACGCATGCAGGCGAGCGTGCTACCGCTTGAGCCACATCCCCAGCCCAACAACCTATTTTTAAATGCTGACTATTTTTTCTTCTTCTTTTTCCCTGTTACTAAGGGTTGAACTCAGGGGAATCCTACCCCTGAGGTCCATCCCTAATCTTCTTACCCAACGGTTTTGTGTGTCTCCATAAGATGGCTTACTCACCTCCTTTTTTCTTTTTATCGTAAAATAGGGACTCTCTAAGTTGTCAAGACTGTCCTTGAATTTGTAATCCTCCTCCTGCCTCAGCCTCCCAAATAACTGGGATTAGAGGCATATGCCACTGAGCTCTGCAGACTACATTTCTTGAAAAGGCATTTCAATGCTGTCTTCATATTGTGAAGTTCTGATAATGACATTAATGTATCGCCCTAATAATTTAACACAATACCTGAACTAACACAATAGCCCATTTCCCCAAAACAGATTGTGTAGATTATATATCTGGTACCTAAAGCAGTCCAACTGACTATTGGGCTTTAGCATTTTTAATTTAAAGCATACTAATGCAACATGATAGACATGAAAGGTGGGTTATCACTCCTAAACTGGATATGACTCTAAGAATTGGAAAAGATGTTGTCCACAGTTTAGTACACTAGAAACAGTGCTAGCCTAGGCAGTTCTAAGAAGGTCTTAGCTCTGACATGCTAACTCTATGTGATCTTGGGCAAGTCATTTCACTATTTGAGGCTTAATGTATCTGTGAAATAGGAGGATTATACTAGCCCAGTAGTCTTTAACCTAGGGTTATTTTGTGCTATTTGAACTTGGTCTTAGGTCCAGTTCCAATAACTTATCAAACAAGGAAACACTCTGGAAAAGGATGAAAGGAAATGAATTGCAAAAGGTTCCTATCTGGTATCTAAATTGTTTTTCAGAGTTACAAAACATACACATTAATGAAGGGAGGTTTACCAGAGGATCAAAATGAGTACTACTTTTAGGGGATAGGAAATATGGTAGTTATATGACATAACCATACTGATTCAGTAGTTTGGACAGAAAGAGGTGCTGAGTTTCCAAATTCTCTGTCACCATCTCTCATGTGACTGTCACCTTTAAACACCACCTGCTGGCTTACTCACCTCCAGCTGTATTGATCACCAAACCGGAAAACAACAGTTCCACATTCTTAAAGCCAAAGTAGAAGGTCATAGGCTGCCAGAAAACCAAAGTAAATTCATTAGAAATGATTGACAATCCTAAATGAAAATGCCAAAGAGGTTTAGCATATTTAAAAGTAATAGGTTTGGGTGAGAGTTAAGAAATGACGTCCATGGAAGTGGGAGGCCTTCTCCCTCATATTAGCATTAATGCCATAGGCCCTAAGCAGCGTCATTCCCTGTGCCCTCCCCAGCACCTGGGGTCTGTTTCTCTTTCTACACAAAGCAGGAAGCCCAGAAATTGGGGCTGGGATGGAGCTCAGTGGTGGAGCTCTTGCCTCGCATGTGTGAGGCACTGGGTTTGATCCTTAGCACCACACAAAATGAATAAAATAAAATAAAGGTATTATGTCCATCTTAAAAAAAAAAAAAAGATGAAAGCTTAAAAAAAAAAAAAAAGCCCAGAACTTAATCCAGAAGAGGGTGAATTTCAAAAGAGGGACTAGAGAAGAAAGAGTCCCTAGAAATATTTTTTCTGGTGTAACTCTGTATTTGCCACATTTAGGCAAATCATTTGACATGTTTGGGGATTGGCATTAKCGCTTCTTCATCCGCTAGCTGATCTTTAAAGATAATAACCTTCCAGTACTAAAATCCCACTACTTCTACAGCTGAGTGGGGGAGGGCCTGGGCTGCCTCTGCAGGCACTTACCATCATCATCATGTTGCCGTCTCCTCCACCATGGGAGTGTGAAGCTGAGGTCGGGTGATGGTGAGATGGTGGCATGGTGYTACTGTGGTTCGTATGGTTCATCCCCATATGATGGGAATGGTCCATTTTTCCAGGAAACGTTGAAAGTCGGCAGAAGAGTCACTTAAGAGAAAGAATTATTTTTGCTTAAGTATACAGAAATATTGTTTCTTGATACTTTGTCTATATAGAATATCATGCAATGAATGAACACTTTCCTAGCATCTTTACTCAGAATTATTTTCATAATCTACAGATGGAGAGTTCAAATAACTTGAACTATAACATAACACATTTGGAGATGGTAGCAGAAAGATCTGCACCTGTGGCTTAAGACACGAAATCCTTATTCTGCAGAGTTGTTTCTTTTTTTCTAATTAAAAAAAAATTTTATTGGTGCATTAAAATTGTACATGATAGTGAGATTCACTATGCCATATTCCATGCACGTAATGCAATTTGATCAGTCTTATTCCCCAGTACACAGTTGTTTTTTTAAAAGACATATTTAATATGTATTCAAATTTAAATATGAGATAAGGAGAAGAAAAGCAGCTTCTTTGGCAGGAAACAGATAATTTGTACTAATGTACAAAAGGATGCCATTAATTAAATTTAATTACCCTAAGGCTTTCTAATCATAAATGTCAGTAGATAAAAAAGCTAATACTTTGGATAAGTCACCTAAGTGGAATGGCCTGTGTTTAATCAGGATATTCTATTTTCACTTATAGGAAACCAGGCTTCAGCTAATTTAAATTTGAAGAAAGGTCTGTTGCTGCCCTAGGCAAGCAGTGTGCTCAGACCAAAGACTCATTTTCCATCCCATCAGGACATTAGAGTTAAGAACATGAAAAACAAGGTATAAATTGGATATTCTCTATTGAATTAGGTCTAGACACTGCATATTCAGGCTTGTATTTTTATTACCATTTAATGCTTTACTGAAAAGTCAACTTGGAACAAGGCAGGGGACTGGGAAGTTGGGGTGTGTGTAGAGAGGCTGGTCTTGGTAGAATCTCTAGATGTGTCCCTCAACTCCAATTTGTGGAAAAAAGGGTGGGCTTTAGAAATTCCAACCAGGTATTCATGTCCATTAGCTGAAGTTTGCTTCTCATTATCTATTCAGACTATTTATTGAAATATTTATCGAGTTCCTATCATAGGCTGAACTCTCAGCTATGTGCTAATAATTCAATAGTAAATAAAACAAACATGGTAACCAATAAGGAAATAAACAATGAAGTAAATAAACAATTTCAGGGTATGATTAGTACTATGGAGGATATAAACAGGGCAATATTATAACATTACCAAGAGGTAGAGAAGAGATATGCCTTAGGTAGGAGAGTTATTCAAGGAGCTGTGTGTGTGTATCTCAAAAACACAAATATTCAGCCATCTATTTTCCCCTCTTCAATTTCTATCCCATGATTCTATCTCAGCAGCCTTAAGAAACAGGTTTGTTTATTTCAGAAAAGGACAATGCAGAGCCTCTGTCAGGCATAATCAAATTCTGCTCTGAATTTTAAAAACTTTCATGCCACACACTGAATTATTTTATAATTAGACAGCTTGACAGTCTTATCCTTTTAATACCTTTGTCATAAAAGGACAGGATTGGAGGTACAAAGAGATATTTAATAGGGTCTTTGTCCATCAAAGGGATTGAGCCCAGGGCCTTATGCATGCTTGGCAAGTGCTCTACACTGAGCTACACCCCCAGCCCCACAAAGATTTTATAGTAAACACTAAATAAAAGGATACACAGAAAGCATGCACAAAGTGTCAATGACTGGACAATCAATAAGTGGGCAGCAGTTTCTTGACAGGAAATTATGGTGGGATGAAGAGATTTCTGGTATCTGAGCGATTATAAATTATGGTTTATATAGGGAGCCATGTGTGTCTAATTCATATACACAAATATTCAGCATCTATTTTCTCTTCTTTGACTCATAACCTGTGAAGTCAGAATGAAAAGACTTTTGCCAGCCAGAATGATTGCAAACCCATCCCCTCTAAAGAGACCAAAACAGAAGTCACAAATTTTGTTCTCTTCCAATGAAGAGTCTGGAAAATGATGATAACATTAAAGAACCATGAAGATAATTTCATTCCATATTATCAACATTGAATCATGGCCATGAAGAAGCAGTTAACATTTGCTGAGTGCTTCTGTACTAGAAGACTTGAGGGAGATACAGAAATGAACCAGACATAGTCTCTCCTCAAGGAGTTTCTTTTTTTTTTTTTTTTTTGTAATGAAGCCTAACAATCAAGTTTCAGCTTTTTCTTTCTTTCTTTTTTTTTTTTTTTTTTTTTGGTAGTTGTAGATGGACAGAATGCCTTTATTTTATTTATTTTTATGTGGTGCTAAGGATTGAACCTAGTGCCTCACACATGTTATGCAAGTGCTCTGCCCCAGCCCTTCTCAAGGAGTTTCAAGGCTGAAATCTAAAAGGTAAACTGAACTGCCACRGTATTCATTTGGGATATAAGATGACATTTAAAAGATTGTTAAAAAAATCAAGAATGTAGCACCACAAAGTACTTAAGAGATGGATCCTTGATTTCCTTGTGAACTTTTACAGCATTCTTCCTATTAACAATTTTTGAAGACTGATAGGTTCCATTTGTTCAGGTTCTCATTACCAATTAGAGAAATCTGTTCCTCTATACTACGTTATCAAATATCTTCAGACATATCAATGACCCAGGAATTCATGTCTAAATCTCAAAAAACCTTGCAAATCTGTTTTGAAGTATTAGTTGTGCGTGATACATTGCACGTTCTAGGAAATACAGCAGGCTGAGGCTATAGCTCARTTGGTAGAGTGCTTGTGTTGCATGTACAAGGCCCGGGGTTCAATCCCCAGCACCACAAAAAGAAAAAAAAAAGAGCAGGAATAGAATCTACTTGCTTTCATTGTATACAGCCTTTTTTTTTTTCTTTTGTGGTGCTGGGGATTGAACCCAGGGCCTTGTGCAGGCACCTCTGTAATGGAATCCTATGTAAGGTTTACCCAGTGGTATATGAATAAGGGATATAAATCTGGTGGAAATTAACATATGAACATACACTTTGGCTCAAAATGAAGCCAAACCTGGTAAGTTCTTATGGTCACTAAAAGTCTTACACTGGGCTGGGGTTAGAGTTCAGTGGTAGAGCAATCCCTAGCACTGCAACAATAAAAAATCTTATTCTAGGAAAATCCCATGGACATATGTCAAACCTAAATGATACCAAAAGAGGAGAAATTTACAAATTAATTATTAAGGAATAATAAATAAAAGCAATATTTTCTCTACCTGTTTGATGTGATGTGCCTTTTGATTTTAGAAAACCCACCTTCTAAAACACACCAAACTCATTCTCTAATTAAAACAGAAATTCTGTGTATAGGAAGTAAGCTTGTATTGTTGGTTTTCATCTATTTCCTTTGATAGCTTTACTCTAAGATGACCCAGCCCAGCTTCTTTCATAATAAAAATGAGTCCTGAAGAATAAGTCAAAGTCAGGGGACACAGTAATACTGTTTGCTCTCTCAATCTGTAATCTGAAGAGAATGGTTTAACTTCATGGTAATCATGAGCTGTGCTGTTCTGGCTTTGATTTATTTGAGTTTTTCTGAACTAAACAGCTAATCTTACTTGTTCTCTGTGAACTGTTTTCTCTTTTAGTTCTATCCTTACCATTTCTTTCTAAGAACTGAGTTCAAGGTCCCCAAAGTAGTTGAACTTCGCTTTTATGGAATCAGGGTTCTTGATTATAAAGCAATTACAAGTAAAGGAACTTGTAGAAGAGTAACRAGTGATAGGTAGAACCTCAACAAATTCTTGGTAAAACAGTTTTTATTGATTCATTGAATTTGTTATTTTTTTAAGGTAATCTATGCATATATGCTAGTTCCAGGCTAAAACCTCCACCATTAATTTTTCCTCTAATCCTTACTCTATCATTTCATCAAGTTTACAAATTATTTTTAAAGAAGTCTAGCAAAAAAACTGAATAGATAATTCAGGGATAAAACTGAAAACCAATTTAAAATTATTAACTTTCAATCTATAATAAAATCTACCTAAAACTTTATTTTTTTTTTAGTTATACATGGGCACAATATCTTTATTTTGTTTATTTATTTTTATGTGGTGCTGAGGATAGAACCCAGGGTCTCACCTATGAGAGGAGAGTGCTCTACCACTGAGCCACAACCCCAGCCCCAGCCACAACCCCAGCCCCTACCTAAAACTTTTTATTTACCAAATTGAGCTTATAGCTCGATGAAAGACTAAAAATATTATACTTTCATTTACATTTTTGCCAGTTCAGGTGTACTAGTCTTTCTTAATGGAAATCAAAAGAATGTGAATCTAGAATAGATTTTGAATGAGGGAAAGTCCACCGATTGTTTTACCTCAGAAAGTTATTAGTCGTTCTGGAGCTGGTTTCCAGACTGTTGACCTTGGAGCAGGGATGCTGGGAGTATTAAATGAGATGACTTACATAAAGCGTCCAGCACAGTACCTGGAAAATGGTAGCTATTATCATTATTCGATCTTTTACCAGGGCATAAAAGACCCTGAATAGGAAAAATCCAGTAAGTGAACTTTGTAGGAGAAGAAATTAATCAACTTCTATTAGTCTTCTATTAGTTTCTCTCCTATAAAGTACTCTAGCAAAGACCATTTTCAAGTTCTTTTTTAGCCTATCTTGACTCCTAAAGACCATGAAGTGGCTATCAACAGGCATATGAATAGTTCTTAAGAGCTCCTTTTTCAAACACAGAACACTTCTAGGATCTTTAAAGCAAGGAGAAATGATCTAGGAATTGACTATTTTTTTTTTTTTTT